TTTCGGAATAGGTTTACTTTGGTACGTCTCTCCTATTCATCCAAGAACTCAATATCTATATGCAATTTCTCTGGTCTTCTACTCCCCATTGAGTTCAAGTTTTAAAAGAATGCACTGTGATATTTGATTTCACTTTTTCTGGAAAACATCGGGAGCTCTCAACCCAGAAGAATTTTTCTTTCCTCTTGCAAGCTTATTCTTCTCCCTTCATTGGAAGTTTTTAAAACCCTAGCCATTTCATTTCCTTCAAATTTTTTCTAGGGTACAGGAGCATGGTGGCGAAACAATAATCCCTTTCAGCTGTGCTTTAGAGAGGAATCTTGCTGACATGCCCCCGGATGAAGCTGCCAAATATTGCGAGGAAAACAAAGTACAAAGGTGGATTCAGTGTGTGTTAATAAAGAAGTTTCATAATTAGAAGTAACTCAACTGACATGGATTTGTTATGCTACAGTGCCCTTCCTAAGATAATAAAGACTGGATTCTCAGCCATTAACCTCATATACTTCTTCACGGCAGGACCAGATGAGGTATTTCAAATACATGAAAGTTTAGTCTTGCCATTCCGTTGTTTGCTTGTACACATTTCTAGTAAGTTTATTACTAGTTTTAACTATAATACTACCTTTAGTTACCTATCCTTGGGTCACTTGGCAAAGAGTTGAAGGCTTTCTTATCCTTGCTTTGTTCTATTTTCTTTTCCTTAGATGTACTTTGTGATCTTTGCTAAGTATCCGATATTACATATGTTGGTATTTCAAGTTGCACTTCTTTTTCTTTATGTAAGCAGCTACCTGGACCCAGTTTCCTTCCCATTTTATAAATATGTTCCAATGTACAATGGACATTTACTAGCACTTTTTTATGCTGCGTGACTATGAATATGGTTTCACACAGGTGAAATGCTGGCAAATTCGTCGACAGACAAAAGCACCTCAAGCTGCAGGGACAATTCATACTGATTTTGAAAGAGGGTTCATTTGTGCTGAGGTTTTCCAAGCTTCACCTTTTTGTTAAGCATGGCTATGATGACTTGATATTATTGTTTTCGTTTTGTCCTTTTCTTTTCAATTCAGCATTAGCTCAGTGCAAGTGCTCTGCCCTGTTTCTTCTGTGGTTATGTATGTGCTGCAAACAGTTTGTCCACTCCATCTCCACTTGCATGCCATTTCATTCCCATAGAAGTAGATTCTACTTTTGATCTTTTCTTAGTCATACCTCTATGATGATAATTTGTGTTTTTAAAATATGTTTATGAGTAGCCTTCCTTTTATGATACCAATACACTCCTCTTATGTAGTTTTTAGATACGTTTTTGTATTTAGATATGTCATCTCTCAGGTTTTTATTGCTGGCATTACAATTATTGGAATCAACATTGAAAAAAAATACTGTTGTTATCTGGTCCTGATTTTTCCTGCATATTGTCTCATTGATTGGGAAGCTCGTTGTAGTAGTATGGATTGTTCTTTTGTAATTTAAAGATCAGTAGATAACGAATATAATTGTTATGCCAAGGCATAATATACTATATTTGTTGCTGATATTTGAAATGTTGAATTGGGTTCTTTGATGCATTTTAGGTCAAAAATCCAACCTATGCTATCATTATTGCTGATATTTAAAATGTTTAATTGTCCTTTTATGCATTATAGGTCATGAAATTTGACGATTTAAAGGAACTTGGCAGTGAGGCTGCAGTAAAGGTATTTCTATGATTTTTCCATTGGCAAAATATTCATTCATGGTCTACAAAATGGCATTGTTATAATGCTTGTCGCCCTGTATGAATATGGAATTACCATTTTTGGTTTAATTGTATGCTGATAAATTTTTCTTCACGTTACCTGCTTCTGGTATATCTTTCCTAAAATCTAGATAACGAGATTACATTTATTCAAGACGATTTCTTTACACAGAAGAAAGCCCCCCCCCCCCCCCCCCCCCCCCCCGCCCGCGGGGGTAGAGGTAGTTTAGTAAGTAAACACACGTACGTACATGGAGTTTGTTGAACTACTAGGGAAACGTTTTTAATTGCTTTTCAAGGAGGATGTGTCAATTGTCCGATTCTGGGATCAGTTAAAAAGACTAGACTGTAACTATTTCACGCCTTTTGATCTTTTCTTCCACTCTGATGGTCTCTATTTATATTTTTGTTTCATATTTGGGTTGTAGTTTGATTTTGAATAAGAACTTGTTTGCTTCATCAAATAGGCTGCCGGGAAGTACAAACAGGAGGGGAAGACGTATGTTGTCCAGGACGGAGACATAATATTCTTCAAATTTAATGTGTCTGGGGGCGGGAAGAAGTGAGTTATGTATCTCGGCTCTTGACACATTTTTTTCTCATTGTAAGATTGGATGTGACTCGATCATTGCAATACACGATTTCTTGGAATTATCCATGTTATGAGGGTCGTATGGACTCTTAGCATTACTAGAATATTTACCTTCATTATATAATATATGCTTTACACTAATATTGCCTTGATTCAACTTTGTTGGGTAAATTCTTTATTGCAAAGAACTCGAGTAGTAGCGACTACGTCCTTCAATTATCTTTCCTGTGTACTTGTTTTATTTTTAATGCAAAGAACTGGAGTAAATACCTACTTCCATGATTATCTTTCCTTTGTACTTTTTCTTTGATGATATGATTGGTAAAATGGATTAGACAGTCGAAAAAAGGTCCACGGGGAACTATTTTGTTGCACCCATATTTAGCCATCATTTGGCTGTCATCCTCTTTCATTTTTTTGCTTCTTTCTTATTTTCAACTACACAATTTTTCGTAAAATGATATTATACGTAAATTGAAAATTTTTCATTTTTTTTTTCAACAACGCATTTTTTTAAAAAAAAGTATTATTTCAAACGTTAAAATTTAAAAAAAAAGGGGAGCCAAACGGGCCTTATACATTTGGGGAAAATCTGTTTCTCCAGTGAAGGAAACCTTTATTTAAGACCTGCCTTTGCTTTGAGGGGTGCTGTAGGTATGCATTTAAAAATATGAAAAGCCAAAGCTGCATTTACAGTTTATTCGCCGCTAGTCGAATGTGAAGCATTTGATAAATAGGGCTATTAAAATCAAGAAAATGCCTGAATAGAAGAGTAGAGAGCAAATGGTGGGTCCCTCTTGGGTTCATGTACACCATGATTGGACTCCATCATCAGGACCTAAAAACTCCAATCTCAATCTTGACAGAAACAAAAGGCTGATGTGGGACCATTATGTAATTTATGTGTTATGCCAACCATTGGATTGTGATCTTCATTAAGTAAATGCATCGAGAACCATCATTTCCAAATCCTTCTCATTACACTCTTACCGACTCCACCTCCACTGAGTTTCTATTTCACACAGATACACGCGCAAATAAAACCTGGAAAATTTTTACTATTGGGCCACCCCATTTTGTTCTGTCAGTAACAAGTTAGTCTTTAACCTTTGAAAAGTAATAAGTTAATCCATAACCTTTCATTCATTGGAATCATTGCAGGGTTTCTCCATTTTATTTTCAAGTATAAATATCAAACCACTGTATGGATGAAATATTTACCTTTATGGTGCCCCTGTTTCGTAGAAATGAAAATGAGTGAAATAGTGTTTTTTTGAAAAATGAGTAATTGAAAAAAAAAAAAAAAGTTTTTGATTTACGTGTAATTTTATTTTATGGAAGATTGTGTGATTGAAAATAGGAGAGAAAAATGAAATGTAATGGAATGAAAATTAATGGGAGCCAAACGGGGGCAAAGAAAATACAGAATTAGGTTATGGATAAAGAGAAGTTAAAAAATCTTAACCAAACAAATGGGAATGAGGGATAGAAGATAAAATGGCATGGTGCAGATACTTGTGCTTCTTGTAGTCATTTTCTAGCTTATTGCTAGATGATTAATTCTGGATGGCAAAAAATGTGTAAATGTTTATTAATATGAAAATATATCTCGTTCTAAACTTTTTGACACTAATTCAAATTGGGTTCATGAGGTAAAATATATGGAGATCAGGAGACAATTTTTAACAGAGATTCAGATGATCTTTAAGACCAATTTTGCTACCGTTGTTATATGTTTAGAACCAACTTGCTCTTCCATAAACATTGAGGATCAACATGATATTGGAGTAATAGGTTGGGGACCATTATTGTATTTTCCCTATAAAACCCCCAGTCAAAGGGCAGTAGTGGGACACACTTTTTTACACTCCCCCATGCTGCTTCACTTCAATTTTCTTAATATTAATCAGTTGTCATGGGGGATTCCAGAAAATCTTAACCCAGATTTAATGAATCCATTTGACGTCCATTAGGACAAGATTCTCCTACTTTTTGGCGGGTAAAGCGAGTTATTTAGGCATCGTTTGGTAGGGATTTTTTGTTCAAAAAAATTGATTTTTTTACCGATATTTTACTATTCAAGCCGTAATTTTTGACTTCTTCTTTCATATGTGGATCCCACTTTTCTTCTAATGGTCAAAAAATCAATTCTCAAAATCCCTACCAAACAGGCCCTTACTTGGAAATGTTAGGTGGGACGAATTGTTCCTCAGTTTGACTTGCTTCACGTCGAAACGTATCACGAGCATGGACTAGCTCGCTGATGGGACAGATCTAGCTACTCTGTCCTTTTAACCTCCCTAAATTAACTGACATAGCACCAAGAAAAATACTGTATTTCCTGTCAAAAATGCTGGATGACATTTTCCTTTGATGTATTGTTAAAAAAGAGAGAACTGTCAAATTTTTTTTTTAAATTGTTCAATGATATATTAACACGACAAAATGTGAATGATGATATAAGGAAGGATATGTGGCATGATTGATTTGACGCTTCTGCCAGCGTCCTCTGCAACAGCTTTTTTAGAAAAGAATTACTTTTAAGAAACAATTAACCTCAATATTAATTAATAAAAGTTTTGTTTTCGGAGTCAATCTAAAATGCCAAAGAATGAAACAAAACATAATTAAGGGTATTCCACATGTCTTTTTGGTGATAGAAAGTGATGGTCATATAGAGAATAGAAACAGTGTACACAACAAATTATCAATTTAGAATAGACAAAAAGGCATTATCTTTTTGTGCGTTTTAAGCCTTTTTAGTATATGAAAAATGTCATATATGTGTGCTGCGAAAAAATGTGTGAAAATTGATATGCTTCGTATATTGAGGGAATGGTAATAGGGTTTTTGTGCTTTAATTGCCAGAACCTTATGATGTTCTGGCAGCTAATTATTTGTTCTTGAAGTTTAGAAAGGCGTAACCCCTCATGGGCCATACATTTTCTTCACCTTTAGTCCATTTTTCTATGCACAGATTTTGTGCATTGAAGTATCTACACAAGATTTAAGGATTCAACTTTTGCAAGAGGCTACATCGATTGAATCTTCGAAAGGGACGGTTTTTATCGGGCTATTTTCTTCTCAAATGGTAAGAAAATGCTGACCTTTCCTAGGTTAGATCTCTTAAAATGACCCACTTTAAGCTGTTTGTTTAAGTGAGTGATTGCTTTGGTTTGAGCAGCTATAAACCTCGTTCTTGTGTGGGTTAGGATATACATTGTAATTCTTTTGGTAGGACCTTTATTGTATGAGGTTTTGATATCCTTTCGGGTATCTTTTCTGTTTGGATTTTTGGATATTAACCAAGTTAGGTTACATCATTTTGCCAATTTATGCTGTGTAATTTGGTACATTATCGTACTGCTACGATTTCTATATCAGAAGGATAAATATACTTCTGGTTCTTGGCCTTTTGAGATTATATCTTCAGTAGATGAAGCCATTGCTTGGGTTTAATATGAGGGTATTTAGGCTTTTAATGGTTGCCCTTTGGTTTCTCCCGGCCCTCGGGCAGCTTCCTTCCCAAGACATTTTGGCATTGCTTGAGTTCAAGAAAGGAATCAAGCATGACCCATCAGGTTTTGTTGTTGATTCATGGAACGATGAATCCATTGACTTCAATGGCTGTCCAGCATCTTGGAATGGGATTATGTGTACTGGTGGTAATGTGGCAGCTGTTGTTCTTGACAACTTGGGTTTATCCGCTGATGTGGACTTGAGTGTTTTCTCTAATCTTACAATGTTAGTGAAACTCTCAATTTCAAACAACTCCATAACTGGGACATTGTCCAACAAGATTGGTGACTTCAAAAGTCTCGAGTATCTGGACATTTCTGACAATATGTTCTTCTCATCATTGCCACCTGAAATTGGCAACTTGAGGAGCTTGAAAAATCTTTCATTGGCTGGGAACAACTTCTCTGGCTCGATCCCAGACTCAATTTCGGGACTTGCCTCGATTCACGCTTTGGACTTGAGTTGTAATTCACTTTCTGGGCCACTGCCATCATCTTTGACGAGATTGACAGGTCTGGTATATCTTAATCTATCTGTTAATGGATTCACGAAAAGTATCCCGAAAGGGTTGGAGATGATGACACAGCTTGAGGTGCTCGACTTGCATGGCAATATGCTTGATGGTAAATTGGATCCAGAATTCTTGCGGCTTACTACTGCGAGTCATGTTGATCTCAGTGGAAATTTGCTTGTGAGTTCTTCTAAAGAACAACGGAACTTTCTACTCTCTATTTCTCCCACTGTCAATCATTTAAATCTTAGCTACAATCTGCTAACGGCATCGCTTGTTAGTGGCGGTGAAGTAGGTGCTTTTGGGAACTTGAAGGTTCTGGATTTGAGCTACAATCAGCTGTCTGGGGAACTACCTGGATTCAATTTTGTTTATGATCTTCAGGTCCTCAAACTCAGCAACAATAAATTTTCAGGGTTTATTCCTAACAATCTTCTGAAGGGAGACTCGTTGGTTTTAACTGAGTTGGATTTGAGCGGCAATAATCTTACTGGTAATTTTATCATGAAGCCTGGCTCTTCATTCTGCTTTATTCTTTAAAAATCTAATAGTTAGTTTAATAATTTCTTTAACTCCATTTAATAATAAATTATGTAATGTCATAATTTTTATTCTTTTTCATGGTTGTGAAGCTTTGGCATTATGTCATAAGGGAGAATTATTTGTCATGTTCGGGAATGATGTATACTAGTTTCTGTCTTTTCATGCTATCTGTTTTACTTTGCAGGGCCTATAAGTATGATAACGTCAACAACTTTGCAATTTCTTAATCTCTCCTCAAACATGCTTTTCGGTGAACTTCCAATATTGACAGGAAGTTGTATTGTGATTGATCTTTCAAAAAATCAATTTGAGGGAAATTTAACCAGAATGCTGAAATGGGGTAACATTGAAATTCTTGATCTAAGCCAAAACCGCTTATCAGGCTCCATCCCGGAGGTAACTGCTCAATTTCTGCGTTTAAACTATTTCAATCTATCCCGTAATTCCCTGAATGGTACCCTTCCGAAAGTTATAACTCTGTTTCCGAAACTCACGGTCCTTGATGCCAGTTTCAATCAATTGGAGGGACCTCTTCTAACTTCCCTTTTTATATCATACACGCTCCAAGAGCTTCATCTACAGAATAATAAACTTGCTGGAAATATTAATTTTTCACCTCGCATGGATGAATCAAATTTTCGTGTCCTTGATCTGTCTCGTAATCAACTCAGTGGCTATTTTCCTGATGGGTTTGGTTCATTGACTGGACTTCAAATGCTCAACATTGGAGGAAATAATTTTTCAGGCTCTCTGCCTACTTCCTTGGGTAAGAACAGCACCCTTACTTCGCTGGACATTTCCCAGAATCATTTTACCGGTCCTCTGCCAAAGACCTTGCCTAACAGTCTCCAAAGCTTCAATGCATCATATAATGATCTCTCTGGGGTAGTTCCAGAAAATTTGAGAAAGTTTCCACTATCTTCATTTTACCCTGGCAATTCTGAACTGCAGTTTCCAAATCCTCCTTCGGGCTCAAACCGTGGTCCATCTGGAAATCACCATGGGAAACATATGAAAACTATTATCATTGTGGTGGTAATAATTGCCTGTGTGATTGCTGTAGCCATTCTAATCCTGCTTGCTATTTTCATTCACTGCAAGCGCGCATCTAAAAGGCCTTCACCACATGTTACAAACAAAGATGTCCACCGTCAAACATCAACAAAACCTTCTAGCTTTGCTGGAAGAGACAGTGGAGGCAGTTTGGTTGTTTCAGCTGAGGATCTTGTAACTGGGCGAAAGGGGTCACCATCAGAGATTATTAGTCCTGATGAGAAAATGGCTGCGATTACAGGTCTCTCACCGTCGAAAACCAGCCATTTCTCTTGGTCGCCGGAGTCTGGAGATTCATACGCTGCAGATAGCCTTTCAAGACTGGATATTAGATCTCCAGATCGGCTGGCCGGGGAGTTGCACTTTCTTGATGAGACAATCTCATTTACAGCCGAGGAATTATCGAAAGCACCAGCTGAAGTTCTGGGAAGGAGCAGCCATGGGACATCTTACCGGGCAACACTAGACAATGGGTTGTTCTTGACTGTGAAGTGGTTGAGGGAAGGAGTTGCAAAACCAAGAAAGGAATTTGCTAAAGAGGCCAAGAAATTTGCAAATATAAGACATCCAAATGTGGTTGGATTGAGAGGGTACTACTGGGGACCTACACAGCATGAGAAGCTCATTCTTTCAGAGTACATATCTCCTGGAAGTCTTGCGAGTTTCTTATATGGTATCACTGGACTCTATATTCTATCTTGCAAAGTATTTTGTTGCTAAAAGATTTTACATCATCAAAGATATTGCTTTAACTTCTGTTGATCTGTTTCTGTGTCTGTGACTGTAATTTTTTTCCCCCGATTCTTTTGTTTGTATCTTTTTCTATTTTTATTTTGCTCCCCCTGCTTGCTTTATGAGAAAATGAAATGCCATCTTCAATTATTTGTGGGTTTCATAGCACTTCAAGTCCTTTAGCTGATTTAGATTAGATTTCCACAGGTTGATGAAGCTTGCCCTTTTATTGAGTTGGAATACTCATTTATATTGTTGACGACTCAGATATACGACTGTGCAAAGGCTAAATTTGCAAAAACGTTACAGGAGAATAGAGGTTGTTTAATAATATGCTTGTATGATGGGGTCCATCATCTGTTAAATTATTTCAGTTTAGACGCATTGAAATTTTGATTGCAAGTTAGAAGAATGCTTCTGTAAATTTCTTAGGCACATAATCCAACTTTCAGTTATTCTAGTATTTGAGAATGTGACAATAGTTATTTTGTTTTTATGTATTTGGCGTAATTGTAACATATCACTGAAAATCCTTTCACGTGATTTAGTGATGCTTCTACTTTGACAACCACCATTGGACATCATGGCTTTTAACGTTAAGAAACAGTATAAGCTTACGCTTACTCTTCCGATGCTTTTGATTATTTCCTAGTTTGCCATGGTATGCTGGAACCTTATTTATCGAGTTTGATTTTGCTCTTCTGGTTGCCTTTGGATAAAGATTGCATATCTGTGCACTGATTTATATTGGAAAAGAGAATTAATTCTCATCTTTGCACAAGCCGGTGTAATAATGTATTATGGTTCTTTCTATATGCTCTTCTAACAACTGGTATTTGCAGATCGGCCTGGAAGAAAGGGTTCGCCCCTTACCTGGGCCCAACGGCTTAAAATAGCAGTTGATATTGCACGTGGCTTGAACTATCTCCATTTTGACCCCGCAGTTCCACACGGAAACCTTAAAACAAGCAATGTACTACTAGATGGCCCTGATCTGAATGCACGCGTTGCTGATTACTGCCTTCATCGCCTCATGACCCAATCAGGCACCATTGAACAGATTCTTGATGCTGGAGTGTTAGGTTATCGTGCACCAGAGTTAGGTGCATCAAAGAAGCCCCTTCCCTCCTTCAAATCAGATGTTTATGCTTTTGGAGTTATTATGTTAGAACTTCTTACTGGAAAGTGCGCAGGTGATGTGGTTTCTGGTGAAGATGGTGGAGTCGATTTGACAGATTGGGTTCGGTTAAGAGTTGCAGAAGGTCATGGATCGGACTGTTTTGATGCTGCATTGACACCTGATATGGGAATTCCGGCATCCGAAAAGGGAATGAAGGAGGTCCTCGGAATAGCTTTACGTTGTATCCGTTCTGTGTCCGAGAGGCCAGGTATCAAAACTATACACGAGGATCTATCATCGATTTAGCGTCAATTTGTTTTAGGATCTCGTGGGAATCAATTAGCTCATTGACTTCCCTTTTATTAGTTAAATTAGAGACGCAGGGTGACTCACTAGTTTTTCTTTTTCTTTCTTCTGACTATTTCTGTAATGAGGGGGGGTATCTTCATGCATACAAGCTTTTCTTCTTGTTAATGAGTTCAGGTCACTACTTCAAAAATGTCTGTTTTGTTTGCTAAGGTTTAGCGCAAAGAAATGGTTCAGAAGAAATATTTTGATCAGGTTGATTAATGGATAATCTTGTTTGTTTCTGAATTGATACTCTAGTAAAAATAAAAATTCCAACAGTAGCATCAAAACATTCATTCATCATTAACATGAATGAACAAAAAGCCCATCTCAAATACAATGCACAAATCATACCATACATATAAACTATGAATCTAATTGATCCATTGATGACAAGTTCACCAATCACTCACTGAAAAGATCCTAACAGATCAAGAGATTTGGATATCTGATAGAAATAATTATAAGACACCTTAACCTGCAATCTCCTCCTCCTCTTCTTCTTCCTCGTATTCCTCATCGTCGGCAGTAGCGTCCTGGTATTGTTGGTACTCGGCCACAAGATCGTTCATGTTACTCTCTGCCTCGGTGAATTCCATTTCGTCCATTCCCTCACCAGTGTACCAATGCAAGAAAGCTTTACGCCTGAACATAGCAGTGAATTGCTCGCTAACACGCCTGAACATCTCCTGAATTGAGGTTGAGTTTCCAATGAACGTAGATGCCATTTTCAGACCCTTCGGCGGGATATCACACACACTAGACTTAACATTGTTTGGAATCCACTCGACAAAGTAGGATGAATTCTTGTTCTGGACATTGATCATCTGTTCATCGACCTCTTTGGTGCTCATCTTACCACGGAACATGGCTGAAGCAGTCAAATAGCGACCATGACGTGGGTCAGCAGCACACATCATGTTCTTGGCATCCCACATTTGTTGGGTCAGTTCAGGAACTGTAAGAGCCCGGTACTGCTGGGAGCCTCTGGACGTTAAGGGTGCAAACCCAACCATGAAGAAATGTAACCGTGGGAATGGGATAAGGTTAACCGCAAGTTTCCGCAGGTCAGAGTTGAGCTGTCCAGGGAACCGCAGACAGCAGGTGACACCACTCATTGTAGCAGAAATCAGGTGGTTGAGATCACCAACTAAAACACAACACCCAAAATTTAATTATTAGAAACATCTTATCAATGATGCCTACATTATATAATTAATTATCGAGCTCCTATTTGAATTTCAATGAGAATAAAGCAGAAAGCAGAAAAAATAAATGGAGAACTGAACTTACAAGTCGGAGTTGAAAGCTTGAGAGTACGAAAACAAATATCGTACAGAGCCTCGTTATCCAAAACCATACATTCATCTGCATTCTCAACAAGTTGATGAACAGACAGGGTAGCATTGTATGGCTCAACAACAGTGTCCGATACCTTCGGGGAAGGAAAAACTGAGAATGTCAACATCATGCGGTCTGGATACTCCTCCCTGATCTTGGAAATGAGAAGCGTGCCCATACCAGAACCCGTGCCTCCACCCAAAGAATGACAGACTTGAAATCCTGTTGTATAAATAAAAGAATCATAATATTATAGCAGACGAACCAGCACGTGCATCTACATCTATCTTATTCATGCATAACAAGGGTCTTATAATTAGTTATATGCCTATTATGAATGAATATATATATATATGAAAGTGTTTCAATTGAGTCTTTCTTGGTAAGGTAATTTGCATATAGGTTTTCTCCTTTGGCAGGGAAAAAATGGTTATTGGACAAGAATAATTCAGATTGTTAAATTGCAATAGTGCTGGTGAACAATACAGAATGACACGAGCTATGAAGCATGACACTCCATGTCAGAAACATGTCCGAGTCCTATATTTCGAAAAATCACAAGCCGTTATGTTATCTGAGTCCGAGTCAGTGCTTCTTAGCAGAAGATGAAAGTAAAGCAAAGCACTAATTAAAAATAGAGACGTCTTCATAAAACACAAACTGCATAATACTATTGCCACAGTATGATTAAGAGAAAACCCCAGGAATGGTACTACGAAACGAGGTGGGCAGGTGGCAATTTTGGATCTCCTAATATCTACAATATTCAGACCAAGAATGCACAAAAAAGAAAAACCCAATTGCAAGCATTCATTGATATTGAGCTATTTTTCACACAACCAGATTCAAACCCAAAATCTAAGTAGATATGAAGCATAATTGTGTAAATATGCATATAATTCAGGCACAGAAAATGGAGCAATCTTCAAAAGGAAACGTATAACATGTAGCACATATAATTAAAATGCTAGATCTAATCAAATTTGACAACAAAACATCAGATCAAGTAACAGGCAACAACAAATGAAAATCACGAAAAGAACCTTGCAAGCAATCGCAATTCTCGGCCTCTTTGCGGACAACATCAAGCACGGAATCTATCAACTCAGCTCCCTCCGTGTAGTGTCCCTTAGCCCAGTTGTTCCCAGCCCCGGACTGTCCGAAAACGAAATTGTCAGGCCTGAATATCTGTCCAAACGGGCCGGATCTGACAGAATCCATGGTGCCCGGCTCGAGATCCATTAAAACAGCGCGTGGAACGTACCTCCCCCCGCTGGCCTCATTGTAATAAACATTAATTCGCTCGAGCTGGAGTTCGGAGTCTCCGCTGTACTTTCCGGTTTGGTCAATTCCATGCTCATCGCAAATGACCTCCCAGAACTTGGCGCCGATCTGGTTGCCGCATTGGCCTCCCTGAATGTGAAGGATTTCTCTCATTATTTGTGCGTTTTTGTATGTGCCTGGTGTTTTTGAGAAATTAAGGAAGATTTGTGTTGTTTAAGTTTTAGAACGTTTTTCTTGCTCCTGTCGGAAGGGTAGTGGAGGAGCGGAAATGCAGGGTGATTGGTGGGGAAAGAGCAGTGAGGTTGGCGTTTTTTATTGGAGGAAAGCGCGTGCTTTTCACTTAGATTTGCAAGATATGGCTTCCTTTTTTAGGCTTGTGCTTGGTGGCCTCCACACCCATTCGAGTAGAATAATTCTAAATGAACGACGACATAGAAAATGATATAGCACTCACATAAAATGCATGGGCCTCGGAGTGAATAAAAAAATATCGACCCTTATGTGTGAAAGCTATGTCAACCTCAATGTCATCCTTTATGTTCATCTAGCAAGATTCATTCGAGTATATGAAAATTATGTACACCAAACTTTATCCTACCTTTTATAGTTCTTTAATAGATATTATTCGGATGTTGATTCACTTAAGATAAATAAATGAATAATCAAAAGGATTGATTTCTCTAGCGAATGCCGAATGGATGTAACTGCAATCGAGCATTCTCTTTAAGTTGGAACTAGCCTTCAAAATCTTCTTCGGGCTTGTAATCTGAACAAATAAACGCTCATAATCTGCTTATTTTTCATATTGTAAATACGTTTAAGTTGATAGGATGTTGATCACGTCACTTTTAATTCAAGAGTGAGGTGCCATTATCTTGCCTCTTGCACTACATATTAGTTCAATCAAGTGAGCTCAATTGTATTCTTTATTTATTTCGAGATGTTTGAACCAATTTGACTTAATAAATCACGACTTATTTTTCAAAAGAAAAGAAGAATCAAGCCCAAGTTGGATTGTTTGAAAAAAAAAAAAAAAAAAAAGATTACTAATTAATAAGTTTCAATTTTTTCTAAAAAATAAATTACCATTAAAATAAATCAGTAATTAATAGCCCGTCTGACGGGACTTTTGAAAAGCTATAAGGTGTTTCCGATGCCACGAAAGCTATTTTTGAACATGTATGGATAATTTTGCGAAAATTATTTTTCTGGCTAGAAGAGTTTTTAGATGAAACTGATTTAAAGTAATTTTCACAAGAATCTCTTTTACGAGAAGAAAAAAATAAAAATAGAAGTCCGTCTAATGAATCCTAAAAGTCTAATGTAATAAGTAATCACACTGTTGGTGAGGATTAACTTGCATTTCATAATTGCAGGGTCTGAAGTCTTAATTTTTATCATTTGAGTTAGCATTATAAAATTTATCATTATTACCATCATTAGGGTTGTATTATGATTACTGTGTGATTACATTGTAAAAAAGAAATATTGCATTTAGTGTTATTATTGTCAATTTCTTACTACCCAGATTTTTGTGGCAAGTGGAAGCCCAAATCATTTCAATTTGAAAGGCCGAGCTCGTTTTATGGGCCTGCCTTGATCTGCTGGCTTGGATTGAAAGATGGATAATCCATCAGCCCACATATTTTCGTTCAGATTAATTGGTCATCAAACTTTCATCCCAACTATAAGTGGGTTAATGAACTTCATTTGCACCAATCGGGTCACTCAACTTCTAATTGAATTTTTCTAATTGAAGTAGCAATCACTTAATTTTCACATAAAACTCAATTATATGAAGTGTTATATTTAATAATTTTTTTACATATATGCTTTTTTTTACGTGTATTTCTTAATAATTTATTTATTTATTTAGAATTATTTTCGAATTTATTTTTAGTCAAATTAGTTAGTAAATTATGGCAGTTGGAGAGTTGTTGTATGGTTGATCGAAATCACAGTTATGTTTTTATTTAATTATAACTCATTATTGGTGAAAGTTATAACTTTTGCAACTTTATAAATCCCTTTCACTGAAATCATTTTAATCTTATGTACTCTTTACATAATCGAGTCAAGCACTAATTGGATTATATTTTGTTCAAGAGAAAAAATTAAGAGTTCTGAAAAACTCTTGTAATTTTATTTTAGGACATCTTACTTTCACAAGTCTTGATCGTTCGATAAGTTTTTTTTTCTACATTTTATTCTTTTTGCAATAGTATCTAAAGCTAATTTTTGTCCTACATTTACCTTCCTCAACAAATCCAGCCCAAGCATCAAGATGAAATCGTCCATCGCCGTAGTCGATAAATCAACCGGTCAGTCAAATGTCAAGAACCAAGGCTGGATGGGGTAAACTAACGAGCTCGGATATTAATGAACTCTATAGAAGAGTTACATCATGAGTTGTCCCATAATAAAATCAGTTGTTGCTAATACCTTCTTCAAGTGTTGTCCGCAATCTTTGTGCTCGACTTGCCCAAAATTCTATGAGCAATCGAGTTCACCATTGAAAAATGAAAAGAAAATACCATCGTGATTTGGATTGAAAGTCGATGAAACAATACATCAATGAGAAGTTAATTCAAAAAAAGAAGTTATCTTTGATGATACCTCTTAATTGAATTATATTGGAATGGGTGTGATGTCTTTTTTTTTTTTAATCGAGTCGAAAAAACATTCGAGTTATAAAGTACGAAGCTGACCTTAACCCCTATTATTTTGAGGTCATATCTAGCATTACGAGCAGCACATCCAAAGAGATGGTTAGCAGCGGCAATTATTGTCTTCAAAAGACACGTTCAGCCCAAACCACTTAGCTTCATCCTCCGTTATAAAATTATGAATAGTGAATGACGATTTTTAGTTGTGATGTAACTTTGAACAACAAAGAACACGTTAAAATTATTTAACCTCAGTCTAGCCAAAGAACATGCCTAAAAAAATAATAATAATAAATAAAAGAATAATATTTGTGGTACACCGAGGTGTCCAATGGGGTGTTCAAAATGAACACCTGACGCCTCGGTATTGGCCGAGGCGTCAGTGAGCCCCTGCGTGGCAGGCGTCGGGTGTTCATTTTAGACACCCCATTGAATACCGCAATATACTCATAGCATGATTGTAAATAAAATATCAAACAGGGGCTCAATGAGTAGAACCTGGTCAAATTTACACTACAAAAATGGCATGCTTAAATTATTTCTCCTGTCTTTTACCTTAATCACATCGATAATTTAGGACAAGAAATAAGTCCAAGAAAAGGATCCAAAGTGAGTGGGTCCAAACCCATTTGGCTGCACTCTATATTGTGCAAGTGTCCTCACCTACCAGACTTAGGAAAATTCTTTCCTTTTAATTTTAAAATTATTTTTTGTTATTTTATAGTTTTTCTAATCCATGATACTGACATTTATAACAGACTGAAAAGGAAAAAAAACATATGGATTTGTTTGGATAAATTGCAAAATGACAAACTTTTAGCCGCCGATACAGTTACGAATTAGCTTTTCTTTCTCATGCTTTCACCTCTCTTTAAACGTGATGTTTGAGTGTTAAGAGCATTTTCCAATTCAGTTTTGATTTTTCTTTATCAACTATTTTATTTTAAAAATATCTTTATAGTTTATGAAGTGACCGAATCAACTTATAATTACTTTTACTTATTTTCAATCGTTTTCTTTTCTTTCGAAGATATTAAGAAGGAAATATTGTATTAACTATTTCTATTATTGTTTCGCACGGGTTAGTCGCTAACAATTAAAAAGGATCAGACGATTGTGTAAGGGACAAATCTCTTGAGACAAAGTCTCAAAAAGGGGTGTTCTTTTATTGACGATGACTTTATAATTGGAAATTAAAAACAATGTGCCTTCAAGGGGTGCAAGCACACGAGTTATTGAAAGAAAAGTGTTTAAATCCAAGTTAAGAAAATTAAAATTACATGTTCTCTGTTCGAGAGTTTTTGATTCGGTGCTTTGCTTCTATGTCTTTTCTTCATTTTATACTTCATGGACGATCTCTTTGTGATCAACCGCCTTAAAAACTGCTTGATCGTCCTATAACTGCCCACTTTCCTCGTAATGGCCAACTTGTCATGAAAACTGCCTTTTTTAACTGCTGTCATTACTTTTCATCGTTCAACCGCTTTCGATTGAATTTCTTGAATCGTGGAACGTGATAGGGCTGCTTTAATAACTGCTTTGATAACTGCACTTCTTGATAACCACGACGCTTTATGTTTGTTAAGACCTTGGGCGACTTGAAGGTTTGGGCGAGAATAGAGTAACAGCTCTGGGCGACTGTATGGCACTCCATTCGCTCAGATTCTGGGCGACTTGCAAACTTGGGCGATGGCGTTACCGCGTTCTTGGGCCTTCATCTTGATTTGTTTGATTGAGCTTCGTTATTTGGGCTATCTGATTTGGGGATCCTCCAATTGGGCTTCACTCCTTGGGCCGTTCGATTTGGGCTG